GGCGACCGGAGCTTGACGAAACTTGTCCGCCGCCTCTGTGGCGCGCGACACAATCTGGAAAAAACACGCGCCACTGGAGAATTTGGGCGAAAGTAACTCCTAGCGTTCTCTCTTTGAAGGGCCCCAAACTACCAGCCAGGGCGTTATTGATTACTCTCGAGATTGAAGAACTGTCCCTTAGCAGGAGATTTGTGGCTGGCAGAGGGCGCAAGGAGGCAAATTTCGGAGTTTTTACTTGTTCTTGGCTAGTGGATGGGCCAGCAGTGTCTTCGTGCGGCACATTCCAGCTCACTGTGCTGGTTCTTCTGGACGATTCCGCAGCATTCTGATCGCTGATACTGTCGCTGGATCTTTGCGGCACGCTGGGCTGCAAAACCAGCGCAACAAGACATAAACACTAACTAAACCCACCCGAAACTTGCCAACTCTACTTCTTCCAATTCTTCCCTCGGATCCTCCAGTGGCGTGGCCTCATGCACATCAAGAAGACTGATTTCGATTGATGCCGCTGAACTTTCTGGTTGGGCTTCTGTTGAAGCATCAGTGGCCAGATAGTGATACCTAGTTAGAGTCGCCATTAGCTCTGAATGAGGAAGGTTCCTCCACTCACTGCTCATCTCCAACTGCACCGAAGTCCTCCTCGATGTGCACCAGAGGCTCGTAGATGTCGCAAATTTTTGTGGCTAGTTGGCATTTCCGCTGCCCGCAGCACATTCGCACTTTCAGCAGGAAATTGTGGGTGCTGCTGGTCGGGTCGTTGATTGGGCACAGCGGGCTGCTGCAGCAATTCTTCCACTTCTTCAGCCCCCGCAAATACTCGCAGTTTGTAGGAGAGCATGTGGAAGAACTGGCAGAAGCTAGTTGAGTTGACCTTTTGGCGAAAGTTGCTTACATTTTAGCCTCGTCGTTTTGTCCGCCCCTGACACTTGAGGCTGGAAGCTGCCCAAGTTGGCGGGTGTCTGGAAAAGCCGGAGGCTTTTCCAGGCCATTTTCCTTTGATTGCCCCCCGACGCTTTCCCTGTTTAGGGCTTGCGCCAGCTCCGTCTGGTCCAGCTTGTAATTGCCATGTTGCGACGCCTCCATCCCAACAGGAGTCGGAGGAAAATCCGCACTAGATATGGAATAAACGGCCTTTAGAAGTGCGTTTACCTCCCCAGGGTTTCGCCTGCTGATCTGCACTGGCTTAGTGGCAGGAAGCATCGACTCCTTATCGCTCCCGCTCAAGTAGCTCTTGACGATGTTTCCCTCCTTGCTGGTGAGGGTTTGAGGCCTCAAAGGAAACTCCTGGAACGGCGTATTGGGGCTGATCGTGTGCGCCAGTCCGACCGCCGTGCTGGAGGGCGACGGAGTTTTCGGCAGATCCTGCGAATTTTCCAAAGATTTCCTACTGCCGATGGCAGCGCTTGAAGGCTCTTTGGCTTTGGGGGCCTTCATGGTCTGGCTGACCAGAGTAGTGTTGGAGCGAAACGCGTGAAAAGACGTTTCAATTTCGTCAGTTTCTGCAGGGTTATTGGTGAAGTCGTCAGGAAGTGTGGCTCTTCGGTGCGTTGGTGCAAGCTTTTTCCTGCAAGTTCCAGTTATTTCCTGCCATGAACAAAAGGGAGTTGGACCAGTTGAAGAAGTTACTTGGAATCCTTTCGACAAGAGTCTGATAGAAAACGGTCCTTCTTCATCAGATGGGCATTGATTACAGTTTCGGCCTTAGCGTATCGGCGCACTTCTTTGCTATTGTCGGACAGTTGCAGCTCTTTTTGCAGGGACGGTGAAACGCAGTAGTAAATTTCGTTGCGTTTTCTCGGGCTGTTCACACTGACGCTTTTTTCAGTCAGGCTTTTGCACAGGTGGCTCTCCAAGTCGCAGACGACAGTAAAATCGACCGCTGAGACCAAATCGATGCCGCTGCAGCACTCTGGAGGACCGCAAATGTTTATCTAGAAGCAAAGATTGAAGCGATCACTTGGATTCTTGACTTTCTGCATCTTTAAGTCTAGCCCTACTGAACGCGTCAGTTTGAAGAAGAACTCCGTTGAAAAACCCTAAACAGCCGCCTGATTGTACCTGAACCTCATTTTCATGCTCCTCCCTACTCTCGTTGGTTTGACTTTTCGTTTTCTTCGGACAACTCGGTTGGTCGCACTCCGGCGAACTGAAGATCCGGCTGGACGATTGAATATCAATCAGGCAGGATTTGCGTTTTTTGGGCAACTCCAGAGTCCTGGAAGTTCTGAGGCTTGAAATGGTCGATGATTGTTTGCTCGCATTGCTGGAAGCTGCGGTCCAAAACTCCATGCAATTCGATCGTCTACAATATTCGAGCGTCTGCGTTAGTTCAAAGGGGGACTTAGAGGTGGCATCGCGATTCTGATCTTTGCACGTTGGTAACCCGCAGAAGGAGGCGAATTTGCGCAATGTTAAAAAACTCTTGGCCGTTTCGAGCTCGCAGTTGATTGGTCCGCATGACTTCACGCTAATGTTGCTCATTTGCGCCAAATGCACTCAACATCATTATAAAAACTTTGCATGAATGGGTATGGGATGAGGATCGCAAAATCGAGTTCAACTGAAATTTTTTGTCGTGATCGGTCGGTGATGGTGAAATAGTCAGTGTCCATGTCTGTTTGACTTCACTGTCTGTGTATGGCGCGAGATTTTTTTTTCAGGCGCTTAGATCCAGTACCTGTTGATTTAAATTTTTCCTATCATTTATTATTACGTTAGATCAAAATTAACACCACACAATAGTAAAACACCACATTTTTACGGAGTTACAAAAATTCATAAAGTTAATATTCCTTTACGACCAATAGTTAGTAGTATAAATTCACTTACACATCCCTTAGCCAAATATATTTTAAACATTTTAAATCCCCTAATAAATAGCACAACTTCCTATATTGAAAATTCGGAACATTTTTCACAAAAATTATCAGACATTAACGTTCCTGTTGATAAAACTTTAAATATCATCAAACAAAAATTACAAAATGACACCAATCTTAAAGAACGCACACAACTAAGCATTAACAGCATTATTAAACTTTTAACATTATGTGTAAAGTCAACTTACTTTCAATACAATGACAATTTTTATCAACAAAATTTTGGAATGGCTATGGGGTCACCACTATCCCCATTTTTCAGTAATTTATTTATGGAAAATTTTGAATCAACTTTCCTTAATAATTACAAATTAAAACCAATAATTTGGTGGCGTTATATTGATGACGTATTCTCCATTTACAGTCATGGCGAACAAAAACTTGATCAATTTTTATCTTATCTGATTAATAAAGAACCAACAATTAAATTCACTATTGAAAAAGAACAAAATCACCAAATTCCTTTTCT